AGGACCTTAAGCGCATGATTCAGTTTCACTGTGCATCTGACTCTGCTGAGATATATGTTATGACTGAAGAACCACTTGCTCTTGATCTGTCCACCATGCCAGGCAGTAGGTAGTTTTTCTTGCTGTCTTGTGACACACATCTTAATCCATTCCTTAGATAAAAACATGTTGGGGCGGGCTTATGTTCTTGCAGGTCAAGCCGTACAACTCTTTCAGAATCTGGTGTTCCAATTGATGCTCCACCGGAGGATATCGTTGATGACCCTGACCAACATGTCCTTCTTCTTGATGATGATGCCTTTGACATAGTTGGTGACACAAGCACAACTGCCGATCCTCCCCAAATCGAGATGTCTTCTGGATTGCCCATTTCCGTTTCGTTTGCTGTCAACTACAATGAAAAGAACGCGAAAGCTGCTCAGCAATGGCAGAACAGTATTACTGGGGTAGGCCAAAGGTTCAACACAGTACATGAGTTTCGTGAAACATTGCGAAAGTATGCTATCGCCAATCAATTCGCTTTCAAGTACAAGAAGAACGACAGTCACCGTGTGACTGTGAAGTGCAAAGCAGAAGGATGCCAATGGAGGATTCATGCTTCAAGGCTGTCAACCACTCAATTAATCTGCATAAAGAAAATGAATCCCACCCATACATGCGAAGGAGCTGTTGTGACAACAGGTTACCAGGCAACGAGAAGCTGGGTGGCAAGTATTGTGAAGGAGAAGCTGAGAGTGTTCCCTAATTACAAGCCCAAGGATATTGTCAATGACATCAAAGAGGAATATGGGATCCAGCTAAACTACTTCCAGGCATGGCGTGGAAAGGAGATAGCCAAAGAGCAGCTTCAAGGCTCATACAAGGAGGCATACAGTCAGCTACCAATCTTCTGTGAAAAGGTAATGGAGTCAAACGTGGGCAGTTATGCAACTTTCACTACTAAAGAGGACTCGAGCTTTCATCGGCTCTTTGTTTCATTCCACGCTTCACTGTTTGGCTTCGAACAAGGCTGCAGGCCTCTGCTTTTCCTTGACGGTATATTTTTGAAGTCAAAATATCAAGGCAACCTCTTGGTAGCCACAGCTGCTGACGGAAACGATGGTGCTTTCCCTGTAGCTTTTGCAGTAGTGGACACAGAGTCCGAAGATAACTGGCATTGGTTCTTACTTCAACTTAAGGCTGCACTCTCCATGTGCCGTGGCATTACTTTTGTGGCAGATCGAGAAAAGGGTCTACAGAAGTCCATTGCTGAAGTTTTTCAGAACGAGGACGTATACCATGGGTTCTGTGTAAGATATCTGGCTGAACAACTCATTAGAGATTTAACAGGACATTTTTCTCATGAAGTTAAGCGTCTTTTAGTTGACGATCTCTATAAAGCCGCATATGCCCTTAAACCTGACAGCTTTCACACTTGTGTTGAAAGGATCAAAAGCATTTCAGTGGAAGCTTACAACTGGGTTTTCCAAAGTGATCCTTCTCACTGGGCTAATGCGTTCTTCCCTGGGGCCCGCTATAACCACATCGCATCAAACTTTGGTGAGCTTTTTTATAACTGGGTAGCGGATGCACATGAATTGCCCATCACCCAAATGGTGGATGCAATACGGGGTAAAATCATGGATTTGATTTATACTAGAAGGACGGAGTCCAATCAGTGGATGACAAGGTTAACACCGTTTATGGAGGAGAAGCTGGAGAAGGAGAGCCTTAAAGTCCACTCTGTTCAGGTTATGATGTCAACAACAACACGCAATAAGTTTGAAGTGCACGGTGGGGAATCGATCGAATGTGTTGACATTGACCAATGTGATTGCAGCTGTAGAGAATGGCAGATTTCAGGCTTGCCTTGCTGCCATGCTATAGCTGTCATTGGCTGCCTTGGCCGTGATCCGTACAACTTTTGTGCTAGGTACTTCACAGCGGATAGTTACAGGTTGACATACTCCGAGTCGGTTCATCCGATTCCGTGTTTGGATAGTAGCAGCAGCAACCACACACATAGAAAAGATGTTTCTCAAACTGTTGCAACTGTCACCCCTCCCCCAACCCGGCGCCCGCCGGGTCGGCCCACTACGAAGAATGTCGGTCTCAGTGAGAGGCGTCAGGTTCAATGCAGTAGGTGTAAGGGTATTGGGCACAACAAGTCGTCATGCAAAGAAGGGGTGATAGAGAGCTAATTTATGTAGATCTTTATAGATGCTGTGTATGAGCCATTTGCATATATCCATTTGTATATGCGGTCCCGGCTTGAGTTTATTTACTGTGTAGCTGTTATAAGTGACTGATTTTGTCTCCTAGATTGCCGATTCATTTTCCCCTATCATTAATGTTCTTTTTTAGTATTTTTCTTCTTGATCTTTCTCTTCTTGAATAATGTACATTTTACTCCTTCCGTGCTTATGATGCTAACCCTCGCTGTTTAAGCTTGCATGTTTCCCTTTACAAAGTTTTACCTAACTTCTGCTGTTCGGATTTTTCTGAGACTCGGTAATACGACGTGAACTCAGACATGGATTTAACGGGATCAGAAGCCATACTGAATACTGTTTAAACTATTGTGTTTTAATTTATGGGCTTAACGGGCTAATCTGTTAAATTATGCTGTCGCAGTTTGTTATGTTCGACCTTTTATACCTGTTATAGCATTCGATTCTTTAACATGAAAAAAATCACTACTAGCATCTGACATTACGTTTATTTATGTTTGTCACGCAACTAATAGTTTTATCAAACACACACACACACATATCTAATATATGTATGAATTTTTGCTGCTGTTCTGCATTTTGTACATTACAAAGCTGTAATTTTGGTTGACTAGTTAGTTGCTGAGAACTGCTTTATTAGATAGCCTAAAGCTCTAATTTTGGTTCAGTAATTGTTGTTGCAAACTGCATTTTTAGACAGCCTAAAACTATAATTTTGGTTGAGTTTTAGTTGTTAAAAATTTGCATTTTATACACCCTAAAACTGATTTTTTTTTAGTATTTTATAAAGCCAAAAGTTAATGATGAAATGAGAAAGATGGAAGTTGATGAAGATGGAAGACGATGAAGATCATGATTCTTATGGTGAATAAGAGGTATGAATGAGAGAAAAGAAAGAAAAGAACGAGAGGAGAAAAGTTGATTTGGATTCTCTGCCGCATGGCATAGGTGCTTGCGACATCCAACGATGATGGCAACAGGGGTGGAGAGCTATTAAAACCACGCACCATACCTGACTGTCATAGCCAGATAGAGAATCTGGATCCGAGAAAAGTGAAGAATGAGGGTGGATTAAAATTGATAGTATATGGACAAAAGGTGTATTAGATAAAAGGATCAAACTTGACACTTTGATTGTACCTAAAACTTAGTCTAAACACAAAGATATTTAATTGGTCTAAAACACCACCAAAACAACCTTTTGAGGTCATTTAAGACACCCACTATAAGTAGCCTATCAATAGAGAGCCGGGAACTAATATCCAAGTGTATTTTTATGTCTTCTCATAACCTATCACGAAAGTTAAGAAAAACCTCTATAAAAGTTTTGTCATATCCAAAATACTCTAAAATGATACGTAAGATGTCGCCTTCAATCCTTCAATTTGTTTCTAGTGAAGTGGAATTCTATAGTTATGTATCATTATAAAAGTTGGGCTATAGAGAAAGAAGTAGAAAAATGAGAGCAAGGAAAATATTAAATATGAAGTAAAACAATCTGAAGTATAGATTTTGATTAGGTCAAACGCAGATGTCTAACCAAAGTGGTCCCATTGATTAATTTTGGTTTGGGTTGGGCGCCATAAAGGAATAACCCAATTTTTGTGGTTTATGGGTGATTCTTTATATAGAATTTATAATTGGATGATGAAACACATCTTTTGGAAGTCTAGGATTGTTGAGTAAAACATATTGATTACCTTTGGTTCTATTCTTTACATTATTGAGAATACTTTTAGAGATTAATTGCTAGACAGAATTTTGAATTGAAAGATTGTTGACATCTTCATAAAATACTTTTGTCGCTTAATTTAGCTTTGTACATGGCCTTGGTATCCAATTTGGATGTTACGATAGTACAAGTATATTTTAACAAAGTATTGTTCTCAGAAGTAATTGTGTATGTATATACGATTAAAATGAATGTTATTACCGTGTATTATTTACAAAAATTTGATCTGCCAAATTTAGTAACTGTAATAGCAGTTTAATACGGAGTATATTCAAGAGAAAAGGGTCAAATTAGGTCTTCTACTATAGCGAAATCGTCACATAAGATCATGTACTCAATAAAGTGTCAAATAAATACACCTACCTAAAAAACAATTGGATTAGTTATAACGACCCATTGACAACCTCCTAATCTCGATTTTATCTTACATGTTATTTTCGCCTTGTATTTATTTCAATCCTAGCTAAATATTCCACATTAGCCTTATAATCTGTTTTAAAAAGATAGTCGGATGTATATTAAAATCGGGATTTCGAGGTTGTCAAAAGGTCGTTATGACTCATTTGATTGCTTTTTATAAGTAGACCTATTTATATTACATTTTACTGAGTACACGGTCTTATGTGACATTTTTGTAATAGTAGAATACTTTATTTGACCCTTTTCTCTGTATTTATTGTAATAGCTTATGTTTAATTTTTACACATAAGTGACTCTAAGATTAAACAATAATAACTATTATTCATAATTTTATAAATAAATTTCATTTTTTTAAAATCACTTACTATTATTTTGATGATTAAAAAAATCACTTACTCCCTCCGTTCCATTGAACTTTGCCAACTTTCCCTTTTTTGTCGCCCCAAAAAACTTTGTCACTTTCCTATTGAAGCAACTAATTTGTGATTCTGCACATTTCTCTCTCATCTGCACAATTATCAATCATACAATTCTTATTATTCTTATTTCTCATTCACTTTGCACTTGACAAAGTCTACCGGGACAGATGTAGTATTATATTTTTTTTGATGATAAATCACTTATTATTATTTGTCATACAAAAGTATTGAAACGAGGAGCTTGTGGGAGGAAAAGCATCATTGCATCAAGAGTCGGAGCAAATAAACGAGACGCTGCCGGAATCCGGATACACCTCTTCCACGGCCAAACCACAACTCCTAGCTCCGACTCTCCGGCGGGTTTGATCTGACCCGGCTACATTCACTGCTCAACATCCCGCCACTGCCGGAAACAAAACTTCACCCCAAACAAAGCCCCGCACCCTTCTCTTCTAACTGTTAACACCACCGGAGCCTGTGTTTATCCGGTTATCCTTATCCCTGTCGCATCCATTCTTCTTCTCCGGTTTCAATACGACAGGCGGAGACCTGTTCGAGGCTGTCCTGCGCCCAACACGGCGCAATTACTGATTGGCGAGGCCGTTATTGTTCGGGGAATGCATAATGCGATAGTAGCCAGAGTTTCGTATGACCTTTGTTGAAATATCAAACGGGTGGTTCTCTGATTTATTTTGAGGAATTGAAATCACACGAGATGAGCAGATCTCCGTCATTCTCAGTGAAGTCGGAGCCTAATCTGAAGGTTGATGATGAATTATTGCAACAATGGGTTGTTGCCTTTTGCATCATCAGGTTCGATCTTGAACAAGGACAACTCATTGAAGAGTGCTACCCGCCAGGTGCTTTGACCCAAAGTGAGGAGCTTCAAGTTTCTTTTAGTTCGTTTCCAGACTCTGTTTCTCAATATCATAATCGCTCAAGCATCCACGATTCCATCTTTTTCTTCCGCTTCCGCAGACAGCAGGTTTCTCAGTTGTCACCTGAGATCGTTGAGGTTGACAGGGTTCAAGCATCTAAAAGTTTGTTGGGCGGTGAGTTCCCTAAAACAATAACGAGAACTAACCATATAGCTGAATCGCGATACCTGTACGGGTTTGTATTTAATAGACAGAGGCATGATGAGAGGCTGAAGCGTGGTGGTGAGCAAAAATCAGTGGTGATTCTCTCACATAGTCCATTCTCAAGTGTGTTTAGACCTTTGTTGCAAATATTGGGACCGTTGTATTTTGATATTGGACAGAAAGCCCTTCATTACGTTGCTTCTTATGTGTCAACGTGGTCTTCTCCTGCACCTGGTCAGTTGATGGATCTTCCCATTGGAAATGCTACCCTAAAAGTGACATTGCCATCTGCCCATTGTTTGCCCCTAGATGGTGGTGGAGTATTCTTTGAAGAGTTGCTATCATCTGTAGCTCCTTCCCTGCAGCCTTCCAATCAGTCAGTTCCACACGGACTGTTTCATGATTCGGATCTGTTTGGCATTTTCAGAGGGCTCTTAATGCAGGTATGGAAGCTGTGGGAACTGCTACTCATTGGAGAGCCTATTCTTATCATTGCTCCAACTCCTCCTCAGTGTTGTGAAGCAGTTTCTGGTCTGGTTAGTTTGGTTTCTCCCCTTCTTTGTAGTATTGATTTCCGGCCTTATTTTACCATCCATGACGCAGAATTTGCTCATTTAAACACCCTGCCAGAGGGTGCTACATTTCCTCCGATGGTTTTGGGTGTCACCAATCTATTTTTCTTGAAAGCCCTTCGCAATATGCCTCACATTGTGTCAGTTGGAAGAACTGCCCCCAACTCAAACCGACTGTCACTTGGCAATAGTTCCTCTCCAGGGATGAACATGAAGAAGTTTACGCCATTGAACTTTTTGAATGCTGTGAAGATGAAGAGGGAGGGCCCTCTTTGTCTGATGACAGAGCACAAAGAAGCAGTTTGGACCACATACACTGCCATCACAAAACCAGACACTTCAATCTTGAACAGGCTGATTGATGCAGGAGTTTCACCCCGTGTAGAGGAATCAATGTCTCTTGTTAACAATGAGATCTTGCGCCGTCATTTCTTGGAGCTCACGACCAACTTTTTGTCCCCATTTGCCCCATATTTCAGGGTAACCACACCTTCTGAAGGATTATCCCCATTTCTTGATCCTCCTTCCCTTCCTTCTTTCAATGACGAGGAATTCCTTTCAATCTTATCAGCACGAGGACCTGGAAAATTTTTACTGAAGAGGATGACTTCAAACTGGCTGGATTTATACAGGCAATTGATTTATCATTTTATTCATTGGGCATCTTTCAGATCTTATCACAGTATCACACACATGTTGGCTAAAAGACTTCCATTTGTTTTACATTCTCATCCTCAAATCTCATTATTTTTCTTGTAATAATTTATAACATGTCATTGTTAGCCAAGTAATTAAGATAAATTTCTCTACTGTATTGAGATGTTATTTACATATGCAATGTAGGAGGTTTCTAAAGGGGCATAACTTTATTCCATGGTTTCAAAGAAAGCGTGCCATTGCTGAACATGAACAGTATAGGTTATGGAGGCAAGCAAGAATGAAGACTGACATAAAAGAAGTAATATCTCAAATGTCTGAGTTGGAGATAATTGATGCTTTCAATGCAATTGAAAGAAATCTTGTCAGGGAGATGCAGGCAGGTTCTTTCTACTTAAGGAGTGATTGTGTTTTGTCATATATTTATTTGTTATCATTAAGCTTTAAATAATTATCGAATATACTCCATATGTGCTATTGAACCATTGTGGAGGCTTGACAGTTGTGGTATAAGCTTGAGGGTTCGCTGTCTCTACTTGTATATCTTGACTCTTGAGTTGAGAACATATAATGATTTCCCCATGATAATATGTCCAAAAAGTGAAAATAATAATATTACTTAACAGTGTAATAAATACAAATATGACTTAACACATCATGATCAGATCTGTAACATTTGAGAATATGTATGTATATAGCTTTAAAGTTTAAACAATTCTTCTCCATTTTTGAATTGACAACACCACTATTTGTGCCAGTTATTATCAATCTGTCTCCGTGGAGTCAATAATATATGTTCCATCTGTTTTCATTTAAGACAATTCTTTGCAACAGCACTGCAGGAGCAGTAATGCAGACTCGGGTTCCACTTGTCACAAGCTAAAGGGGGATCTCCAAGCGGTATTCAGTGTTCTCTCCCTGGACATTCAGCATCTCATGCTAATGAATCCTGAAAGAGCTGCTCTCCTCAAAGGCAGTCATGAAGGTTCATAGCACTTCCACCCACTTTGCCATCTACATGACTGAAACATAAGCGTTTTGAGCCCTGGTCGTGAAGCAATTATGTCTTTCATCCACTGCTGCTGAAAGATATATATGGAGCAATTCTTCACATTCTCTTCCTGACTGTCATTCATTCGAGCTAACCAATTCATAGATTGCTCTCCCATTCAGGTCGGTTAAGTAGTTTGCTTGTATGATTTCCTGCAATTTGCTATTTCATGTTTCTTAAATCTAGCTTCTCATCACCATTTCCTTAATCCTAACAATGTTTTCGTCAGTACATTAAATGAATAATGTGAATTATTTTTTCTCAAATCAGTTAATGCTATAAAGAAATGCAATAAATAAATATAGTGAATCATTATAGGGTACTTAAAATGTATACACGGGAGACATTCTTCATATATGACATACATTCATGGGATGATGATTACATGACTAATGTTTCATCATCCCACTAATGTGTGTCATGCAAACTTCTCTAGAATGTACACTTTTAATGTCGCCCTGGACTTGCTCAAAATAGTAGTAGTGTCAGCATTTACACCAGGCATCCTTCATGTCGCCACCTAATTTGAGATGCACAGTGGCAACTGTATTTTAATCTCACTTCTATGGTTTCATGTTCTTTTGATTACTATTTAGATTTAAGCAGCTGTGGGAGATTTCTTGTTCAACTAAACCATCCGGAAAGCGGAAATGACAGAGATCATATGCTTTTGCAGTGTTATGATTAGATTTAACATGCCATGGAGGCTTTATGTACCGAAAGCAGAGAAGTTACAATTGGACCTTGGCGTCCTTCAGTGTACATTCACCTGACCCGCACTGTCACATAATTAAGACAAAGAGGTCGGCTCAACTTTATTAGTGAATGAAAGGGAGTAGGGTGAGCATCTTTGCTTAATTATTACAGTATTCCCGGGTCCTTTTATTGATAAGTTTGCACTTGGTAAACTTAGGGATGTAACACACCCCACCCCCACCCCCCGAAAATGAACGAATTTCAGCAAAAAGTGCATTCAAGTAAGAAAATACTAAGGAAGTAGAATTGCGGATTTTCCTTTTCCTGCTTGAATATTGCTTAACATTTGTGACCTTGCTCTGTGGACTTTTATGCAAAATAAAGCTGATGATTTTAATGCAGTGGAAAGCAAAGTGTACGACAAAAATCTGATTTAATCTACATAAAATCATCTATAATATCAACTAGACATTAGCCAAATTCGTTTGTATTTCATATTAATCACATAATCTAATATCCTAATATTGTTTCATTTCATGTCCCAAAGATAGTGAACAGATGCAGTAAAATTGTTTTGGCATTAAGTTTCACGTTACCAGGCTGTTTAGCAAGTGGCCCGATCGATTGAATGTGTTGAAATTGTTAAGCCTATTTGGAAAGGCTTGATGTAGCCTGAACCATTTTAAGGGAGGCACTGAGGCATGTTATATCCCAAAACCAAGGGGCACATCCCGAGATATCACAACGGCCATAAAAATGATGACACCTCATCCCCGACTCCCCCGAGGGTCTCTCAGCCGGATGTAAAATCCTTGATAGCCCCCAACTTTCAATTCAATTCATAGTTTCTATACATTGATATCATCTAGTCACGTATTGGAGATATTTTGAGCTTCTTTTGTTTTCCTTTTATAGAGAAAAGGAGGGAAAAGTGAAGAAATTATTTTGACAAACACCAAACCAAAGATATACTCCGTACTAATTACAGAATCTTGTCCGTTCACATATATACACATAATGACATAATCAACGGATTATATCATGGAAAACTCAATTCGTTTGACCGTTTGACCAAAATATAGAAATTTTCTTCAAATAGAACTAGAAAAAAATTACTACCTCCAACTCAATTTGATGTTCTCAGTTCCTATTCAATTGATCAACACAAATTTTTTCAAACCGGAACAATTCAATCAATTTCATCCCATTTAATTCAACCGGAACCGAACTTGTTTAATTGGTTCAAATTTCAAAACAGGAACGCACACGAAGAACTAGTTTCTTTTTCTTTTTTTAAACAAAGAAGACTTATATTAGAATAGTAGAAACTAGCATAATAGTAAAAGAGGACAAATCCTCTCATGAGTCTCATCTTAGTCACCAGCAGGATTAGACATAGAACAGTAAATGTTAAAAACACAACAATTCACTAACCACTTAACGGGCAACTTGAAGCTTATGGTGACCGACAGAAAATTAATTTCTAAATTATTAATTTATTTACTAAAAAAATACAGCTAATTTGTTTAATAAAAATGGAGAATTTATTACTAATAACATTACTATTACTATTATTATTTATTTATATATTTATATATTTATTTTTATTAGTCTTAGAGAGCAAAGATTGGAGCAATTTGAGTGTAAAATAGTATAAGAATATATATATGAATAAAGAATTGGGACTATACACTACATATTAACATAAGATTACTATTTATATTTTGTATTACTATTATGATTTTTATTATTCTATAAGTATTTTATGTTATTACTATTAATTAATATATTAAAATATAGCAAAACCGATTTAATCCAGTTCAAACCGAAACAATCTGGTTTTTAATGGAAACCAAATTTATAAAACTAGATCGGATATAAACTGGTTCGATTCGGTTCCGCTTTCTCCGGTATTGGCTGGTCTAATACCGAAAGTAATCGGAACCGTTTGGTTCAGATCAAATATTGGAACCCGGGATAGTTAACTGTCTTTACATGGTCGGGTACCCGGTTTTGATCTGGGACCTGAAAACCGGACCTGATCCGGTCACGCACGTAGCAGGCCCGGGAGCGCCTATTGGGTCCATTTCTAATCCCTTCCATGCTCATCCCTTATTATTATTATTATTGTTGTTGTGGTTGTTATTTTATTATGTATTTTAATTATTTTTATTATATAATTGTAATTGTAATAATATAAAGAGGAAAGTACGGAAAAGTTATTTTCGATAAGGCCCATTTTCAAATTGGGGTATGTGTTTTATTTTTTAACAACAAAAAAGTTACAATAGACCGTTGTAGTATAAGTGTGAGTACAAATATATCTTTGTTCTATTATTTGGAATAAATAATAGTAACTACTACGTAGTGATGAACAGGTTTAAAGAAAAAAATAGGGGCATGTTTTTAATTTTTTTTTTTTAAAATAGGACATGAGTTTCAATTTTGTTATCACATGAGGGGCATGACGCTTAATGCTGTTAGAAATCATTAGAGCAAAATGATGAACAATAAATCTCAATTATCAAAAGTGTCAGAAAAACTTAAGGAAAAGTACTGGGAGATTTCGGGCATTGAAAGAGTGTCCGACGAGGCGTACCTCACAGAATTTTTCTTTTAATTTTCGGACACTTTTGAAAATATGATTTACTGTTTTCTAACGGCGACTTCTAACGGCGTTAAGTGTCATGTCCCTTCTGTGATAACAAAATTGAAACACATGTCCTATTTTGTTGAAAAAATGAAACACGTGCACCTATCTAAAAAAGTCCCAAATCACATGTATATTTTGCGTACTTTTTCCTAATATAAATGTAATTAATTGATTATACTCCATATAAGCGATGATAATATCCAAGTAATAATATTAATAAAAAAAAGTTTCGTTAAAAAAAATATATCAAAATTTTTCATTTTTTACGATCTTTCATATGGTACTAATATTGCATATAAAAAAATCAACTAAAAATAGATATTTGGAAATAAATGTTTTTTTCTTCATTTTTTTATATACAATATTGATATCATTGGAAAGATCATAAAACACTAAAAAATCTAATATGTTTTTTTATATAAAAAATAGACTATAAATAAAAAAAAGTTATAAGTCTTAACACATTTTAAAGAAAAAAATGGGATGAAATCGGTTGAATTTAGGCATGGACCGGGCCTGGGCCGGGTCTGACCGGGCTTTTTGGAAGATAATTGAGGCCCAGAATCGGCCCAGTAATCCACCGGGTCCGGCCGGGTCAGGCCTCGGGCCGATTCCCATTTTTTTTTTTTTTGCGTTTTTAATTAACCCCGACCGCCCCCCTCACCCCACCCCCCAAACCGTGAAAATAAAAAAAATTGAAAAAAAATTAAAAAAGCCCGAACCGGGCCTGGCCGGGCCGGTTCCTAATTTGGGTGACCCGAGCCCACCCAACTTAACCCCCGTGCTGGGCCTAACCGAACCGGTCTCTACCGGGCCACCGGGCCGGTTCCAAACAGTGTCGGTTCCGGGCCGGGCAGCTCGACCCGAGTCCACCACTAATTGAATTGAATTATTCCGGTTTTAAAGAACAAAAACTGGATTGTTCCGGTTTGAACTGGATTAAATCGGTTATGCTATATTTTAATATATTAATTAATAGTAATAAATAAAATAATTATAGAATAATAAAAATAAAAATCATAACAGTAATAAAAATATAAATAGTAATCTTATGTTAATATGTAGTGTATTGTCCTAATTCTTTATTCATCTATATATTCTTATACTCCGTACTATTTTACACTCAAATTGCTCCAATCTTTGCCCTCTAAGGCTAATAAAAATAAATAAATAAATATATAAATAAATAATAATAATTTAAAAACTGGTTCTCTTTCGGTCACCATAAGCTTCAAGTTGCCCGTTAAATGGTTAGTGTAATGTTGTATTTTTAACATTTAATGTTATGTCTAATCCTAGGGCTGGTGACTAGGATGAGAGGGTTTGTCCTCTTTTATTATTCTGCGAGTTTCTACTATTCTAATATAAGTCTTCGTTATTAAAAAAAACTGGTTCTTCTAGTCGCGTTCCTGTTTTGAACCAATTAAACAAGTTCGGTTCCGGTTCAAAACCGGAATATATCCAATCCGATTTTCGATTTCAATTTTTTTTTTGCAAATCCGGTTCTGGTTCCAATCGAGTTTTGAACTGAAGCAGACCCCAATCCGGGACCGGACCGCTCAAGTACCCAGGACCGGCCCAGACTTGGAATATAATGGTTCAGTTCTTGGCTTCTCTTTTCACCGGGACAGGAACCAGGACCTGGTCCATCCCTAGAAGTGATGAACATATATTTGCTCCTTCTTAGCCACACGATATAAAGTGAAAATGAAGCTCAAAGTTGATGAATCTGCATAACATTCACAAAAACTCACAAGTTGAAAAAACCACATATATTTTACAACCAACGGCAGCTTAGTATAATACTCCATTAATAAAGTAACAAATAACAAATCCAGTCCCTTCTTTGAATTCTCTGACGTAAATCATATTGTTCTTCCATTTTGGATGAGTGAAATTTCTTCCTTAACCTCAGCCACACTGCACCTTATGATGCACCGCAAGCATTAATAATCAATTTTTGCGGCATTGTTTCAAAAGTAATCACTATGTGTCACCCCGGGAAGTTGAGCATTTCCGAGAAAAGAAACAACACATCTCTTTTGATGCCATCATGATGTAGTTAATAGAACAGACGGTTGCTTGATGGGATAGACCGCTAACTCGGGACTTAGTTGATTGGATAGACTGCCAACTCGGGACTTGGTTGACTGAGCTGCTTCTAGATCAATCCATTGTTAAGGCATTTGAAGTACAAAATATTGAAGCCACCTTCTAGATAGTAGCTTGGTGTTTAGGCAAAATAGAAACCAGCGTAGGCAAGGCAGTTTCAATGAGTTAAACAGAATATTCCCCAAATATTTAAATTTCCAAAGATGGTGAGATTATTGAGGTGACTTTTGGTTCATGAGAAACCTTACATGGAGAATATTTGTTATTCCTCATTGGAAAGACGAGCATTAAACCAACAAGGGCAGTATACACCATGGCTATACCAGTGGAGGATATGCAGATCCAAAATATTCACCATCAAAATGCCATCCCAATGTAGATAATAAGAGGATCCGCTCCAAATAATCTCTCATTGTGAAGATGGTGAGATTATAGTTATTCCTCGTTAGAGAGAGCATTAAACCAGCCTGTGAAGTATACAGAATGACTATACCAGCAGATGATTTGCAGATCCAAAATTTTCACCATGCAAATGCCATCCCAATGTAGATAATAAGATAATCAGCTCCAAACGATCTCTCATTGGAAAGATCGCCGTAAGATGGAGAATTTGATTACCACCAAAATGTGAGCATTTTGATAGACTGATTGTAGGAGTTTGGTAGCAGGGATGCTTGGGGTTTGTTGGAAGTGAACATTATTAGAGTTCTGAACCTGTGTAAATATCAACCATATGCATATATTATTATTAACAAAAATGGACTTCAGGAACACATATAGGCACAGATGTACTGCGATCATCAAGGCAATTGTTAAGATAGGAGTAAAATCTCCATAATGTTAAGATAGGGCAAAAACTCTAGGGAAATTTCCCAAAATAGGAGTAAAGCAAAACGATTTAACTAAATAAAAGTCCGAAGTTTTCCCCCAAAATAAGAGTAGAGTGCTGCCATGTTGAAATCATACTGCTATATTATATGGGATTATCAGGCATAGATATGGCAGCAATTACTCCTACATATTTAGGGGGGAAGCAGTACTGTTTAGGAAAAACTGGAAAACCACATTGTTTTTGCTCCTATAGTCCTATTTAAGGCAATTTCTTACTACTCTAACGACGAAAGAAGACTATAACGTACTCAACTATAACTATGCCATACAAAAAACACCTAAACTATCATTGGGATTAGTATGCAAAAGAAATCATAATTATTTTTCATATGCTTACTTGAATGTTAGTTTAGCTGATCCATTGTCTAAAAGACTTTCCTCCAAATCCCTTCACACAGGCATCTGTTACGGCCTCCAATGCATCATTGCTGGTTAACAAAATAGTTCGTTTGCTATACTCTTGGCTAAACACAAGTTCAAACTCCGTTAGCTTTTCTTATTACATTTTCAAAAATAATACACCCACAGAACGCACTTGTCTGATGGCACCCAATGATCTGCTCAGGCATGAGCCGCTATAAAATGTATATTTTGCAAAGAGTGTTGTCCCGAAAATTCATAAACTGCAACTCAATGATGTACTCTTCATAGTCATAGGTAAAAAATTATAGCCGTAGATTGATTAGAGCAGAAGCCAGTAAAACTATCCAACTATGAGTTGCCCAATTTTCAATGTTTCAGCACAAGACCCCACCATCAAAAGGGAAACAACCTACAATTAGAAATATTAACTGGAGAAACCAAGTACCATATATCCTCTCACTTATGCATACTGCAGATGCTGAAGGTGACTAGCAGTAAATCATTTGGGTAGAACCAGCAGCAGCTACTATCAATGTTCAATGCTCCAATATTATATCAAAGAGAACCCAACAACATGGGAACATTCTGATCTTCAGAATCATTGTCCAACAGTTGAACCCAAAACCTCTGGCGGATTATATTGTTCAATAGCCAGTGACCATAGAGCTCTTATACTTTTCAAGGATTAGAAACAACAACAAGCAGATGACAAATTACACACCTAGCCTACTTTCTAATATAAACTTTTTAATTTACCTATCCAGAAACAGGGAAAGGACTAACTATACCATGTTACACCTCCAGATACTAGCATCTGGAGATGTAGACATGAACTACCTAAAAGCCCCTCCCGTCCATAATCAGTATTGGACAGACTTATGTTGCAGTAACAACCTCCTGACCAGAGATAGCCTCTGCAAGAACAATCCTGATAGGTTGCCATCCCGAGTGATGATGCATGATCCATTTCTTCATTTTGATAACCATATGCAGGATCTGAAGTATTTCACCCAGAGCAAGGTTATTTAAGCACAACTTCTTTATAATAGTAGCTGCTTCGTACCTTGAGAAAAGTCAAGAATCATATAGAAATAATAAGTCTCAAAATGAATTGAATTGTATCAAGTATGAAATAAACAAATAAACAAGCTACTTGACACAAATTGGTAGATTGTCCTTGTACCTGCATTGAGTAGCCAACATAGCAGATTTCCCAGTAGATGATGAGAGAAACTTATGAATTTCATCCCATATTTCTTTAGAATACTTGTCAGGATTTTCACTTATAGGATTTACACACTTCCACAAGCTCTCTGTCTTAAGAACATATAATTGCAATGCCCCTAAGTTTTGCATTACTACAGTTTGGTGTTCAACTGCACTAGCAAGAGCTTTCTTAACATCAATATCACGGTGATTTGATTCTCCATAACGAATGCAATCCACAATATTGGCTTCAGTTGGCATAATTTTCTCATCTTTTAATGTTTCAAGGGCGAGACATATGACCCTTATAAGGCTGGAAACATAATCAGACGGATTTGAGCATCCTGGGTTCCCCCACTCACCATTATTTGATGTATTGCTTCTAATTGCAGATGGGGCTGGTGAAGGGATCTCTTGACTATGGAGTGGGTGCCTGTTGGTTTCTTTCTCATTGAAAAATGTTGATCTCTTATGCAACTTATGTACTTTCTGAGACCCATTCATGTTTAGGTGTCGCGATGAATTCATACTGGAAGTTTGTCTGACCTCTCCATTTCGGGGTTGAGGAAAAGGCAGGTTGCTTCTGTTGTCACCAAGTTTTAGCTTACCAATGTCAGGTAAATTTGTTGAAGGACCTGAGGTCATATTGGGTGCATCAGGCATTGAGTGCATCATATGTGGAGCTCGCACATACGGATTAGGTGGCACTAAATGATGTGTTGAAGGTGCAGGCTGCATAGGAGAAATGTTTGGAGTCTTTGGACCTGAGGACATATTGGGTGCACCATGCATAGGGGTCATCATATGCGGAGATCGCAAATATGGATTAGATGGTAATAAATGACGTGGTGTCTGTGCAGGCTGCATAGGCAAAATGTTAGGCCTACCTGGTATATTATAGTAGTTCTGATGAGGAATCGAACTTAAAGGGTTATTGACATTCATCCAAGAAGGTTCGAATTGACTGATACTTGGAGCTGGTCCAGGGCCACTAAAGGGAACTCTGGAATTTTGAGCAGAAGATAACTCCGGAGAATCATCAAACTGCTTACTGTGCCCATGTCCTTGTTGAGAGTTCAAACTATTGTGATCTTGTTGGGGGGCTGCCATCCCACTTGAAGTTCGGGACAATGTAGGTTGAGTCATGTTTCTCCGCACTTGTTTGAGCTTACCGCTATTGTCTGGGCTCCTTCCCATGTTAGAGAACTTCTGACTTCCTGAGTATGCACTTTCATGGACTGTATCAACAGATGGATTGAGTTGGTTGCTATTATTGACTGGCACTGCTGACGTGTCACAATCGGGAAGGCTAATATTGCTGTTATTTACAAACTGTTTTGATTCACTGTTGCTAAGAGGGGGTCCCCCAGCTACAAGGCTGGTCCAAAGCCATACCGTCTTTGCTGCAGCAACAAGTGCTGCAGATGCTTTTTGAGGCTGTGCTAAAAGAATGTTGTATCTACGCATTCGAAGCTGGTGGAGAGCATTAGAGAAATCCCGATCTCCAGATATTAACAGATAATTAGCAGGTGCTGGATTGTCAACTGCCCAAAACAACATGTCCACCAGAATCTTCTTATCACTAGCATCTTTGACTCCTTTTACATTCGTGAAAAACAAAGAGGTACTTCATTTTGCAGAACAAGAAAACAGTAATGGACAGATGCAATAGATTGGTTGATCAAAGGAAGAATGGGAAATTAATAAATAGGTCGTTGAAACCAACAAAAAACATAACTAATGCATAACATCCTTTATGGTTGAAAGTAGAGACCATCACCATGGAAGTGAAACAATATGACTATATGAGTATAAAAATTGCGGAGAAAAACATTAAAATGGAAGCAAAATGCAGTTATGCACAAAACCTGATGGTGTCTGCATATTACTTTCAAGCAGGTTTCTTTGGGTACGAATGTAGGATGATGAAGGAATGACAGAGTATGCAATGTACAAGTCAATATGACATATGTTGGCAATACCAAATATATACTACAACATTTTTTATTTTTTAAATCCACCAAGAAAAAATATAATGAAAAAAAGTGAACAGAAGTTCATCTATTGAGAGGGCTCCTAAGTTACTAACCAGATTTCATAATGAGCAGAAAGCCCCCAACAGATTAAACATATTAATATTAAACATAAACATGAACTCATCAATACTATCTAACTAAACTAATAAAACAAATCGAAGGAACCCAGTAAGTCCCACTGGGAAGTAGGGTCTGGGACCAACCCTAGGATTAAATACGGATAAGTAATTATTATTCAGCAACCAACAGAAACAAAACAGAATATACGGATAAGTAATTATTATTCAGCACAAAACAGAAACAAAACAGAATGCGCTAAAATCCTGGAGTTGCAGGCTTGCAGCAAATCCAAAATAAAAACAAGAACCCATACGGATACAATATTATTCTCCCCAGAAAACTCAAAATCCTTACTACTTGGTGGGACAAATAACCAACGCTACATGCTACACACAAATAACTAATATACACATACACATACCAGCGGGAACATGGTTGAGGGCTATGCCGGTGCTATTAAGGGCCTGCTGAACCGAAGGAGAGATCTTGGTAGTATCTCCATAGGCGGAGATGGAGACGGGACCACAGTAGTTCAACTTCACCAGCGCAGAACTTATGTTCTGCGCGATTGCATGCGGATCGGAGCTCCTCGGAACTTGGCAGTTTTCAATGTCCCACCACACCGATATCCTCGCCCCCGAATAAAGCGCCTCTGCGGCCTCCGTAATCGCCGGCGACTGCAGCGCCACCCCTCCACCCGCAGAGCCACTTCCGCCGGCACTTCCCATCTGAAACCGCGATCGTCGTAGAGTATCGTGGACAGAGTAAAAGCTTCTTAGTCGGAAGTGTCAGATATGGCGCACGATAGCAAAGAGAATCTCCACGAATTTATGGGGGTTTTCGAGTGCGAAAGATTTGGGGAGAGTTCGAAATGGAATGGCCTCTCATCAATGGTGGCGCTTGGGTTTTGGACACTTTCGGCGTGAAAGTACGTTTGTACCCTTTCCGCAAGTCCATGTTAAGAAATTGCAGCGATTCGTCCGATCCACGTGGGATATTCAATAATTGACTCCATGCGACTGTGTTTTGCCAAGCGCGTTCCTATCGTGTGGTATGGCCCACAAACATTTTATTTGGACAAAATAAAAACTTTTTTTGAAGCAAAATTAGTTAATTATTACTTCGGGGTATTAAGCAGATCATGATCTAACGAAATAAAAACTTTTTGTCACAGGAAGTTGTTTGACACAAATCAGTGCTCAAATAAATCAATGAGAATTATTTGTTTTCATAATCTATACGTAGTATATTTTCAATATTTTTTCTCAATAATATCAACTACTCCCTCCGTTTCTATTTGGTTGGCACACTTTCCTTTTTTTGGACGTTTTAAAATAAATGTCACACTTCTTTATTTCCTTATTTGGTAAACAAATCTTTACCTAAACAGTGCAAAACAGTGTCAAACAGTGCCTAACAGTGTTCAAACAGTGCAAAACAGTGTTCAAACAGTGCCAAACAGTGTACTCTACAGTAAAATTTACCCCTCAATAATTTTTTTCCCTTAAATCTTGACAAGTCAAACTGTGTCAACCAAATAGAACGGAGGGAGTATAATATTACTATGTATATGATAGAGTCATCTTTTATTTGGTTTTGGACTCCATTTTTTGATGATGTTAGATTTCGTAGCTAATTTTGAGAATCAGTAATATACACCACATTTATTTAGCATAAAATCATTTCACTTTGCACATTATTTCTTCACAATTTTAACTCATAATGACTAATTCAATATTACTCAAAACGTGCAATATTTCCCTAAAGAAACTTATTACGGGATTAGTTTATTATTATGCAATGTTAGTTAGGAAGATTTATTTCAACCCAATGGTTTAATTCAATATTGTTTTAGTTTTGGTTCGAAATAAGTATGCATTTGTACATTATCAAACTTCTACATTATCTGAACCTTTACGCTAATATAAAAGCTAAAACTATTTAAATTTTTTGATTCGATTTAAACTCGACTCTAACTCGAACTCGGTCATACTTTATCAAGCTCGACTCGATTTAAGCCGAACTCAATCTCGACTCCCTCGATTAGCGGGCCCAGCCCATCCCTAGTGTAGCGGGGCAAATGTTTTTCGCTATTGTAGGCTCTGCGCCTATTTTTTTATTTAAAAAAATCCATTAATACATGCATGACGACATTTAAATCTATTACTCCGTATATTCTAGGTCTAGACAATGGAAAAATAACTTTGATTTTATGATTGAAGTGATCTAGAAAAAAGTATTAATATATTAAAGCGCAAGAAATGGCAAATCAAAGGAAAACTATATGAAAATAAAAAAAGATATTTTTTGGAAGATAGTGACTTATATTGATATCACATCATTCAGATAGGGAATAAACAAATAAAAGGATCACGCTCAACCGCTAGTGCTCGAACCAGAGTTAGAGTCAATCACCTTCCAGAAAGCAATATGACTCGATGATCCTATAATGAGCATAAATTAGCCAAAGACGGTCAAAACAGGTCTCTCATCACTCAATTCTAATGCAAGAGTCTCACAAAACGAGAAATAAAACGCGAAGATAAAAGTAGTCTGATCAAAGTAAAAGACAAGAATGAAAACAATTGTATTAAACTTATGTTGCATCCCCAGAATCACGAGTATCTTTCGTTGTGCTTTCAGCTTTCCTTCCATAAAGCATCTTTAGATCTCCCAGTGGGTCTGGTGTCCAGGACTCGTCTCCTCCCTGTTTTTTGGCTCATTCAAAGCCATGTCATCTTCACTTGTGTCCGTGAGGAGTGTATCGACCACCGGAAACGCAACCCAACACTCGTCTGCTCTCACTTACCGTCGGCATCCTCTTCGAAAATCAACTCCTCCTCACCCCCACCAATAGCCATATTATTGTACTTATGTATGTTGTCTTCCATTTGTTCCTACTTGGACTACCCTGCTTGATTGAGGATGAATAATCCTTGGCCACGAATGGTTGCCCGGTGTTGCCTGCATTCCTTGCCTTGCCACTCTTTGCCAAAGGAGACGAAGCGGAACACTCAAAACCCTGACCTAGAGGGAGACGCCGCTTTACTCATGGAATTTAATTCAAAGATTGACCAAAATTTATCAAGATAACTTTAAAAACTTGAAAATAAATAAGGATATATAACATTTTATCCAATTATTTAAAGATAAAGAGTTTAAAAGACACACATCCACTAATACTTTTTAAATAACTTTTGCATTGTTTAACTACACGAGTCTTATCGGAAAAAGAATTGATTTTTGAATTGCAATTTTTGTCTACCAATGACGGTGTTTGTGAGCCACAAGCAATTTTCTTAATATTACAATAATATGTATGAGATTATTATTTTTAGAATGTAATTACATTGCTAATTCATATATATGGTGCATATTATATTTGTATCAATGCTAGAATAAGTTAAACTTTTTTATCTATGCAATAAATTGTTTTTAGCTAGTAAGAGGTAAACGAATTGTGTAATTTAATGTCGATAAACATTTATATTTTGGATTTCATTCAATGATAAAAAAAAACGGTGTAACTAATGTGTGATATTTAGTATCGTTTGATATTTTATAAAATTGAGTACTTATATCAATAAAAGATAATTAAACATTACAAAACATAATTATCCACTTAGAATCTCAAGTCTAAAACAATGAACTGTCCTATTATTTATTTTTTAAGTTATGTAAATTATTTTTTATGTTTCTTCTTTTAAATCTCCAATTAAGTATTACATTATGTAAGACTATATATTAATTTTGAAAACTAAAAATTAAGGCGGCAAACACGTATACATCTAATTAAAGTATGAAAATTTTATGAAAATATTACATATATAGTGGGAAAATTTTGAAAGCCCAAGGGGGGCGATTGCCCACCACCCTAAATCCATCCCTGCTAGTACATGAAGTATTTCATTAAAATATACTTTTTTATTTTTCTTACCAAAGGTCCGAAACCAATTCCTGCCAAGTGCCAACTGCATATATTTTCTACCAGTTCTGCCTTTTCACAGTGATGCACATTTGGGAATCTTGCTTGGGACTTGGGTAGCCGGTAGCACCATTAAGGTAGCTGTTATTTCCTTGAATGGTAAGACATTAAAAAGGAGAAGAGAAAGTGCGCTTATCTAAAGCCTGGACCGTTACAGGAAAGTTTATCAAGCTTTATTTATATTCTTTTTTGACAAAAGAACACCTATAGTTATCACTTACACTTGCAAAAAAACTCTCGTACATATAACCCGGAATCCACATGGACATAAATCAAATACATCAGAAAAAAAATACTCCGTACTAACTACACATCCTGGAAAAGAATGACAGTTCTTTATCGAACAAAAAAGTACTTTCGGTTCACTAATATTTGACCATGTTTCCTAAATATGGACTAGGTTGCATATAGCCTTGGACCGAACACTTCACTAGTTCATTCAGGATGCAATACAGTAGTTTTCTGCTTGGAATTGTACTCCTTAAAAGAAACTTGTGTAGCTTTGCAAAGAAAGATTATTTTCTCAACTCGCAAAACATAAACGCGGTGGCAACTCGGGAGGATCATTGCTTATGAGATTTGCCCAGATGTTTGCAAGTGTGACAAAGTAATGCTCTCCATTCCATAAGACAAGCTTCATTCCTAATTCTGAAAGTTACAAAGTAATAGAGTTGAGAAGAAAGTAACACTAGGTTTCTGCGCGAATTTAGTTTAAAGTTGTGGTAGTAAATAGAATAAAAGAACTAGAAAATAGGAAAGATACTGGAAGGATAGGAAAAGTTGGATATGCGCTGAAAAAATAATGGTATTTATGTTTTTCTGATACATTTATAGTTGCCAAAAATAATGTGGAGTATATAATACTCTCTTCGTCCCATCTAGACTTCATCACTACACGGTCATGACTCGTGAAGTCAAGATAATTACTTTTTGCGATTAAATACAACTCTCGTAACAGCTCTAAAAATCAAAATTTCAAATACTAATTTTAAAATATTGTCAAGGAGGAATTAACTTTATGATAAACATAACTGGCACGGTCCCCGACTGGCCGGTCCTAAAAAGAATTGGGAGGCCCCTGGCCGTCTCGATCCTGGTCCCGGTCTGATCATGTTATTTTATACTCCGTATATATTTTTAAACACTCCAAACCCCTCCCCGCCCTTTTCAGCTTTTAAATACACCCCACTCTTTTGAAAATGCTTTCCAATGGTTCAAAAGCAAAAAAAGGGGGGGGGGGGGGAGAGCAGAACAGGGACCGGATCGGCCAAAGTTTGAGGCCCGGGAACTCTTTCCCGCCGGTCCGTCTCGGTCTCGGAGCCTTATTTTCCAGTCCCGGTTTGATATTTGGACGGTCCCGGAACCGGGTCTACCTCTAAGTATGACAGGGTGTACTCTCATCATCATCATCATCATTACCCCAGTGCCTCAAAGGATCCCACCTACGGTGGGGTAAGGAGGGTCGAATGTACGCAATCTTACCCCTGTACTAAAGCACAGAGAGACTGTTTCCGGATGACCCATAGAAATTAAACCTATGGGTTTTCATGTTTGTTCCAATATTAGTTCATCTTTCTCTTTAAGAAAAAGGTAGTATGGTTGATACCATTCCCTCCCCTCACATAAACAAGTTTCAACCACACATTTACTTTATTGTGAACTTGTTTGGGGGCGGGGGGAGTACATCTTATATATGCCAAAGGGGCAGCCACCATAGAACTCTCCAGAATAAAAAATTGGACTCAGGATTCGCTTACCATGTAACACTTCTGAAGTTAAGAGTGATAGTCCACAAGTAATATCATTTTGACTGAACAGACGCTTTTGAAGAGTGTATGCATCAATATCATGAATAAACTTGATATTGTCAAGACACAGTCCAATGGTGCTGGCAGATTCAAGATCTGATGACAAGATAGCATGCCCGAGTCCTGA